ATGGTCTGCTGGCTGGGGATCCCAGGGGTGAGCCATGGGATGGACTCGATGGACCTGCGCACTGAGCACTAGCAAAAGGTCGGTGTCAGTAGATTAAATCCAGAAACTCCTTACCAATTCTTGAAGTATAAGTTATATAAAAGTTTCAAAAGGCATCCAAGTTTTAAAAGGCATCTAAGGTTAGCCGCGGTTAGCCATGCCTTTATCCAGTGCTACAACACTGTTGTGAGTGGCATGGGTCATGCGGCTCCACTCGCAGAGTGGTCTAATTCTGGCAATCTTGTGACAATCTCTTAGATGCTAAGAGCCCAGTTTTGAAGGGATTAACCGCACTTGGTTCTTCCGAACCATGGTTGCCATCGTGCTATCACCAGCGATTTCGTTCATAATTTTTTAGTTTTGTGCAATCACCTTTTGCTTTACCCTTAAAAGCCCAACTTCGGATTAGAGTCAACTTCCAAGTTCACAGGTGGGATTATCAGCCAAGCAGCCAAAGCAGCCAGCAAAAGCACCCGTGCTGAGGAAAGCTTTCTAGAAGCCTTCCCGGAGCAGTACACGTCACGACCTGATTCCATGGAGGAACCGGTGAAATTTCAGCTGCTTGCCCACCTAAAACCTAGTCGCAGGCGGCCAAAGTGTGCTATTCTGCTTGGCATGATTTTGAATAACCCCTAGTGGATGTTTGGAAGTCCCCCTGGAAGACCTTCCTTTCCAATGCGGAAATTCTCTTCCGGCGATAAGCATCTACAAAGGAGGGATGGTTGTTTCAGGGCATATGGATGCATATGGCGCATAGCCCCAAATGACAATTTTACCAGGGAAAATGATAATAAATATGTAACTATATGACTGTGACTATATGATAAACCATAAAATTCTGTGGCATCACCGCATTTTCAAATAAACGCATATGGGAACCTTTGTGAACCCCGCCCGCTATGAGGCAAGAAGCTCAGGTGTTCAGACGGGTGATGATAGCACGCATTCAAGACTCCTTCAGTTGAACGAGGATAATTTTGAGGTGTATATTGGCGTGACATTGGAGAACCCGCAGGTGTATAGTACATATAGTACCCAAAACTATCGTTTGACTGGAGCATGTGAAATCCTCTCCTATCGGGTTCCCAGGTTCACCGGTTGCCCCAGGTCTGTCCGCGGGCCGAACGGAGAATCACGCAACGTGCAGCTTGGTCTAAATGTTCCGGTGGCTTCGAAGCAAACAAGAATGCTTGGGTGAACAGAATTCATCTAATTGTTTCATTTTTGAAAATGAAAAATAATTCAGAAAACTAACAAAAAAGTAAATAAGAACACACAGACACAGATACACACACACAGATACATACACACACATATGGTATATATATATATATTTATAAATTATACCAATATAATTATATATATATATATATCTATCTATCTCCCGTATCATGAATGAATCATGTCTTGCAATCCACTGGTTTTGGATGTTCAGAAGTTCGAATAGCACTTACAGTTGGCGGAACGAAAGTAGTGCTTTCTCCTCGAAGATGGTGCAACTCTCTGAGACGCAGCCCTCCAATGGAACATCCCCCACGCAACAAACAAAAGGTGTACACATTTTCGAGTTCCAACGGCGATGTTATGTAGACTTCACGGGATGCATTGTTGGACCTCCCGATTTGTGGTGATGAAACACTACTTTTCCCAGTAATCCCCTATGATTTTCAAGGGAACGCTCCCCTAAGATCCGTGCGCCTTCTGGTCAAGACCCAAATCTTGGGCTGGTCGCCAGATGATCCCAGACAGGCTGGGCCCGGCTGGTCCCGGCTGGGCAGCTGATTTTGTTTGGGGGCATGGGCATCCATTGGATTCCTCGATAATAAAAAAAACAACACAAAGTGGAGATTTGGAATCTGGAGGCGGGATCTTGGTCGGTTGGCCAAAACTCTATTCCTAGTGGGTGACAAAGTCATCCAATGGCATTTGCATTATCTACAATCTCTGAGGCATACAGAAGTGCAGATGCTCCTGCTAATGTGAAAACCTTGTGTAGGTGTCTAAGCATGCGCCCCACCGCATACAACCCACCGGAGACAGACAGTGATTTCTTTTGCAAAATGTTTTTTTCATCTAGAATGTTTATTGACAGGAGACTAAGCGTAAGTATACAAAGCAAGTCTGTTCGTATTTTACCTTTGCACAATGTACGTGGTAGACTAGGTGATGTTTTTTGAAACCAACCCAGCAATTTCCTGTGGATTCTGTTGGTCCCTTCGTCTGACGGTGAAGAGTTAAGACCTCGCATCCCCATTGAATCAATTTTGATGGGTTGCTCAATTTTCTTGATACATTTTCTTTGCTCCATAGTTAAACTTTAACCACCGATCTCCCGGTGTTTTGCTGGTTCTATCTCGATTCACCAGCCGTCTTGGGCTTAGAATCCACCGGAATCCACCGGATCTGGAGGATGTCCCCGACCTGCTACGAGAGAAGCGGCTTTCGGAGGGTTCCTTAGAGG